TTTTTTTTTTTTTTTTTTTTTTTTTTAATTTCTTTTTTACTTTATGGATATCATAATCTTATCCGAATATTAACAAAAGATGCCATTTTTAAACCATCTGGTGGTCTTATCTTTCACACTTCTTCTATCTTCTTCTCCCATTGATTATTTGACATTTGGGACTTTCTTCATTCCTCCACACCCTTCTTTTCTTTTCTATTCTCTCCCAATGTAGCGTTTTTAGACTTCAAATTTCACGATCTCGATACAAAAAAATTTGCATGAAATTTCCAACATTTCTTAGTCTTCGTGAAGATTGTTAGGGATGATCATGGATTTATGTGAGATCCCATGTTGGAGAGAGGAACAAAATATTCTTTACAAGGGTGTGGAAACCTCTCTCTCTAGTAGACGTGTTTTAAAATTATGAGGCTAACGACAATACGTAACGAACTAAAATAGACAATATTTGTTATAGATGGGCTTAGACGGTTACAAATTGTATAAAGTCAGACACTGGCCTCCAAGAGAGGTGGATTGTGAGATCTCACATGTTTTAAAATCGTAAGGCTGATGGTAATATGTGACGAGAGTTTAAAAGGAACACTATTGCCACGAGGGTGTATCCTTAAAATTGACAATATCAGATCATTATGGAGATTCGTGATTACAAGTCCCACTTTATTAAGAGACGAGCATGATCGCATAACAATTCCTTCTAGCTTAGAATATTTTAAGATATTTAGATCGAAACTATGTTTTTATCAATAAAAGATGTTTATAATGAAATAAAGAATAAAGTTTTACGTCCATAATTTCGAGCGGTTTTTCTGGTCAATTTTTCAAATGAGTATCATTAATAACTTTTTTTCGTTTTTCAAAAAAATAACACTAGCCAATTTGAAGAAGTTTTGGTACCTCTATGAGAAAACGACAAAAAAAAAAGGTTAGAAAAATAAATTATTGGAACATTATGGGCTGTTCTAATGGAATATTAAATTTTTTTTTTTTTTTAAGATGATGATGTCGTCAGGATATTTAAGGAAGTTTCATGAAGGACAAAGGAGAATAGGCCCACGTAGGATAGAGAGAGAAAGAGAGAGAGTTGTGATTAGGTGATTCATTTTTCGGCTGATTAGTGATTGGTGAAGAAATAGACGATTAGAAGGTGCCACGTAGCAGGAGTTGGCCTCGTGTCCCTTAACCTTGGAGATTAGAGATTAGGATAAGCACTAAAACGAAGCGAATTAGGCGGAGAAGATTGATTGCTTCTGGTTGTTATCCAACCAAGTCAGCCATCCACGTCGACAAATTTTATATTCTTAATATTTAATTTTCTGCACAACACGACACCAAACATGGACGCGTGGCATTGGGATCAGTGAGGATTCCATATTGTTTGTCTGACGTGGAATTCTTTTTAGATAGCTCAAATGAATTTGATGGGAGAATAATTAAAGGCGCTTTACTAAATAGTTGGTCTTATGTAATTTAATTTTCTGGAAAAGAAAAATAATAATTCATACCAAATTTTAGAAATTATATAAGTAAATCAATTTATTTCATTTTAAAATTATTAATTCATAAGGTTTACATGGGTATAAAATTTTTTAATTTTTTAATTTTTTTAATTTTTTAAGATCAAATTGAAAAATAATACTTTTAAAATTAGAAAGTCATTTTTATTATTTTATTTAAGAAATAGTATTTTGGGCATAGACAGTTAATTAAAATAAGGAAAATGGTGACGATGAATGGGATGAGATAAACTTTACGTGTGGCTGCTGTAGATTGTGGATAAACTGTTAAATAAATTTTATTTATAAGGAATACAACGTGACAAAATTAGAAATGACATTAAGATTGTGACAAAATATTATAATCCAATAATTTGGTGGATGACATTACTTGTTTTGTTGGATTAAATAACTATTTTATTTTAACAAAATTGCACTTCTCATTTGCAATTTGAGAATTGTAACCGTCCAAACTAATTTTCACAACGATTCGAGGGCCCAAACATTCTCGTTGGCACACTGCTCTTTTCAACTGATGTGAGATCTCATAATATACCTTTTGAGGCTAGTGTCCTAGTTGGAATGTACTTTATTACACTCTCCAATCACAATCCACCCTCTTTGAGAGCCTTAAGATGTCTTCACTACTACATTGCTCTCTCCAACTGATATGGGATCTCACAATCCACTTCCTCGGGGTTAGAGTTCTCCTTGGCACACCGCCCTCTTCAACTGATATGGTGTTTGGCTCTGATACTATTTGTAATAGTCAAACTGTGATGTCCCACATTGGTTGGGGAGGAGAACAAATCATCATTTAAAGAGTGTGGATACCTTTCCCTAGTAGACGCGTTTTAAAGACTTGAGGGGAAGCCCAAAAGGGAAACTCTAAAGAGGAAAATATCTATTAGCGGTGGATCTGAGTCGTTACAAATGACATTAGAGCCAGACACCGGACGATGTGCCAGCCTTCTCGTTGTTACCCAAAGGGGGTAGACACGAGGCAGTGTGCCAATAAGGACATTGGGCCCCAAAGGGGAGTGAATTTGGGGGCGGTTCCATATCGATTGGATAAAGGAGCGAGTGTTAGGTCCCAAAGGGGGGTAGAGGGGGGTATATTGTGATGTCACACATTGGTTGGAGGAAGAACAAATCACCCTTCATAATATACCTTGAGGGGAAGCCCGAAAGGGAAAACTTTCCCTTGCCTAAAAAAGAAATGCTTGGTTCCCTTTTTACACACTCTCACAAGAAATGCAAAGAAATGCTTGGTTCCCTTTCCCCCAATGGAAAGCCGGACAATATTTGGTCCCTTTCCCTTAAATGGAAAGCCTAAAGAGGATAATATCGGCTAGCGGTGGAACGCGTAAAAGTTTACCTACTCTCACAAGACAAGAAATGCTTCGTTTCCTTCCCCTCAAAGGAAGGCCTAAAGAGGACAATATCTAGTAGTGGTGTAACGCGTAAAAGTTTACATACTCTCACAAGAAATGTTTCGTTCCCTCTCCTATTTATACGTGATCCCACATTTATTTGGTATCTTTTAAAAAATTACCTTAACTGCTGTTTGAATCTTTATGGAACATGTTCCCTTTTTAATTCGAGGAAGCAATTCAGACAATTAGAGAACAAAAAAGGCTTCACAAATCAGAAGCATATGGGAAGAACAAAACAGAGAAGAACACAAAAAAAAAAAAAAAAAAAAAAAAAAAAAAAAAAAAAAAAAAAAAAAAAAAAAAAAAAAAAAAAAAAAAAAAAAAAAAAAAAAA